CAATGGGCATCTGAGCCTAGCTTTCATGTACCCTACTCTTAGGAAAGTTTCCCAATTTCCTTCTTCCATTTTATGCAGTTTAGTGGGATTATGAGTTCAAGAAGTCCAACTGATTCAGGTTGTTTTCCTGAGTAGGATGCAAGGGTGATTTATTTCCTGAGTTCTTGTCCAGAAGGATTCAGAGAATGAAGCCACACATAAAAGGTAGTAGATGAAAAGGGTGAAAATTTATTGGAAGCAAATACAAACTCCCACATAGGGAGGGGAGTCTCAAGGGGGTAACACACAAAGCCCCTTTTTCTAAGGTTTATAAAATGCTGCAGTTCTTTGTTTCTTGATACTCCCTTCTAATTGATCATTCTTTTTGCAGAATATCAGCTTCAAAGCCAAAACCCGATGTGGTGACCCCTCTTTCTCTATCCCTTATCTGTAACATTCTCTATTTCCTGTGAAAATTGGTTTTCCTCTTTCTCCCAGTTGTCAGCATCTCCCTATCCTCTATGAAAGTTTGTTTCCTTTCCCCCCATATCTTCTGGCTTTTCCTTATCGTCTGCGAATAGATGTCTTCCTCTCCCCTTACCCTGTAGCACTTTTTTTTTTTCCTTTTTCTTCTGTGAATGTATGTCTTCTGGCGGCTCCAAGCCCTCACCTATTCATTCCTCCCCCATGGACCCTCTTTATTCCTACGACTCTGTAAACCTGCCTATTTTATCCCAAAAATTCCTTGCACAACTATACTGTGACCTCCATGCTGTGAGGAAGCTCAGGTTGCATGGAGAGGCTTCATGGAGAAAGAGAAAGGTGTCCAATTATTGCCCAGCTGTCCCAGCTCTACCAGCCCAGGTGTCACACATGTGTGTGCAGAAGCCTTCAGGTTACTCTAGCCCCAGCTCTTCAGCTGAGTTCAGTCAACCTTAGAACTCTCCACGTAAAAAAAAAATGTGTGCATGGATAGAGCAAAAGACATGTACTAAAAGGGTCGTAGAAATACTATCTGTAATGGCCCTGGATTCGTTTCTTAGGATTACCTTAATAAAGTACGACAAAATGGGTGGTTAAACAAAGAGAAATCTATTCTCACAGTTCTGGAGAAAGATCATCTTTTTTGTTGTTGTTAATCCTCACCCTCTGGATATTTTTTTTCCCATTGAGTTTTAGATAGAATGAAAGGAAGGGATGGGGAGAGGGAGAAAAACATCATTGTGAGAGAGATACATAGATTGTGTGGCCTCCCGCACCAGCCTGTCTGGCCCAGGCTGGGGGTCAAACCTGCAACCCAGGTATGTGCCCTTGACTGGAAATCGAATCCAAGACCCTCTGTTGTGTGAGCAGATGCCCTAACCACGGAAAAGCATAGTCAGGACTAGAAGAAGTTCAAAATCAAAGTGTCAGCAGGGTCATGCTCAGGCCTTCAGGTCTAGTCCTCTCCTAGCCTCTGGTGGTGGCCTTTGACTGCATCACTCTAATCTCTGCCCTTGTCATCAAATGGTGTTTCCTCTTTGTGTGTCTGTCTGTACCTATGCCCACATTTTCTTCTTCTTATAAGGATACCAGTCATATTGGACTAGGTCTCACTCTAGTGACCTTATCTTGGCTTGATTACATCTGCAAAGACCCTGTTTCCAAATAAGATCACATTCACTGGTGCCAGTGGTTAGTGTTTCAATGTATCTTTTTTGGGAACACAATTCAACCCGTAACAAGCCCAAGTGGAAAGTGCCCCAATGACTATCAACAGTGGAATGGATAAATAAATGGTCACGTACTGAAATACCACAGAGCAGTGAGAATAAACATACAAGATGGACTAATCTCAAAGCATGATGTCGATGGACATAATAGAGTTTGTACTGTAAAATTCCCTTTACATGAAGTTCAAAACCTTGGGGAGTGGTTGTGATTTCTTTCAACTTGGTCTGAGTGATTATGCAGTATATTCACTTTGTAGAGCCATCAATCTATGCTTTTATGTTAAATATCAGTAAAATGTTTTTTTTTTTTTTCCTTTTAAAGTCCCTTTACTCGCCCTATCCGGTTTGGCTTGGTGGATAGAGCGTCGGCCTGCGAACTCAAGGTTCCTAGGTTCGATTCCAGTCAAGGGCATGGACCTTGGTTGCAGGCACCTCCCCAGTAAGGGGTGCAGCTGATTGATATTTCTCTCTCATCAATGTTTCTCTCAATCCCTCTCCCATCCTCTCCATAAAAAATCAATTAAAAATATATAAAAATATAAAGTCCCTTTACTCATGAAGCTGACCATTGAGAAGAGATGGTCAATAATCAACATAAATAGGAAAAAATTATAGAGTATTAGTTGGAACTATGTGCTGCAGACAGAGATAAAGCAAGGAGGGGATCAGCGAAGACTAGAAGGGGAATGTGATGATCCAGCAATCTCATGCCTGAATATTTAGCCTAAAATATTAAAATTAAGATCTGGAAGAGATAGCTTCATTCCCATGTTCATTGCAGAATTATTCACAATAGCCAAGATTTGGAATGTAACCATCTGCTGACAGATGAATGGCTAAAGAAAATGTGGTATACTAGTATACATATGAGAAAATATTATTCAAACTTAAAAAAAAAAAGGAAAGCGCTTGCAGGTGTGGCTCAGTGATTGAACCAGGAGGTCACCAGGTCACCTTATGATTCCTGGTTGCGGACTCAATCCTCAGTAGGGGGTGTATAGGAGGCAGCTGATCAATGATTGTCATCATTGATATTTTTCTCTCTGAAATCAATTCTATCTATCTATCTATCTATCTATCTATCTATCTATCTATCTATCTATCTATCTATCCTTTATATATAAAGGAAATCCTGACCTTTGTGATATAGAGGACATTACACTAAATGAAATAAACCAGTAATAGAAGGACAAATACTGTATGATTCCACTTATATGAGGCATTAAAATAGTTAAACTCACAGAATCAAATAATATCGATAGAATGGTGGTTTCCAGGGGTTGAGAAGAGAGGAAATATGGAAGTATTCTTCAAACAATGTAAGTTATACAAAATGTGTGCCCTGAAAATTTTGTTGAGAAGGTAGATCTCACATTAAGTTTTCTTACCTTCCTCCATACCCTTCAAATAAATAACAAAGGGACACAAGAAATATTTTGCATATTATGGATATTTTTATTACCTTGTGAAAACAGTATCAAAGGGGTATGCATGTGTCAAACTCAGCAAAATGGATACATTAAATATGTGCATTTTTATGTACTACATATACCTCAATAAAGCTGAAAATAAAATAAAACAGTGGTCAGAGAAAGACAGTTGAGATGCTAACACTGGTTTGATTCAGTAAGTTTCATTTAATCTTTACAACAAGCTTATGAGTAAGGGAATGTTACATATTAAAATAAGTTATGGTAGGCAAATGTGGAGAAAGGCACTAAATTAAATATCCACAAATGGGCAAGATGGTTTACTGCTCAGGAAACATTTTTATGGCCATATGAATCAGGGATGATGACATGGATGGCCAGATAATTCATAGAGAGACAGATAGATGGACAGACAGACTACATGTATAAAAACAGAGATGGCTACTGGTTTCTATAACCTTGCTAGTCTTTGTCAGGGCTAAGAAGACAATGTGTTTGTTGATATCAAAGCTTGAAATGAGAGTCAAATAATCTTTGATTTGTCTTGGTCAAGTTTTAAAAATTATGAAAGAAAAAAAGAATGTGATATTTATCACATTACATAATTATAGTTCAATATTATTGCCCATATTGATTTTACTGTGGATTAGCTCTTTATGGCTTATTTACTACTCATTACAAATTTTCACCCTTGAACACCATTCATTTTATCTCTTTCATTCCCTGGCAACCACCATTTTACTGTTTTGTTTTTTTTTTCAGATTTATCTTTCTATATTCTATACTAGAGACCTGGTGTACAAATTCGTGCACTAGTGGGGTCCCTTGGCCTGGCCTGTGGGATTGGGCCTAAATCGGCTCTCTGACATTCCCCAAGGGATCTCAGCAGGCCGGTCTGAGGGACTCTACTTGTGCACAATTGGGGCTGGGAGGGACATTGGTGGTTGGCCAGCAGTGGAGGGACCGTGGGAGGGCTCCAGCGCATTTCTGGCCTGTCTTGCTCAGTCCTGATCAGCTGGATCCTAGCAGAAAGCTAGCCTACAGGTTGAAGCGTCTAGCCCTGGTGGTCAGTGCATGTCATAGTGAGTGTTTGAGGGGGCTTAGCATATCATTAGCATATTATGCTTTGATGGGTTGAACAGCTGACCCGGAGACTGAACACTTAGCATATTAGGCTTTTATTATCTATATAATAAAAGCCTAATATGCAAATGGAATGAACGATGGAACAACAGGTCACTATGATGCACACAGGAGGCAGATGCTCAATGTAGGAGTTGCCCCCTCGTGGTCAGTACATTCCTACAGGGAGATCGTTGCTGAACCAGAAGCCAGGCTCACAGCTAGCGAGCACAGCGGCAGTGGCTAGAGCCTCTCCCACCTTTACTGCAGAGAGAGAGGTCCAGGACTGTGAGAGGGTTGTCTGACTGCTGGCTCAGACCCACTCCTTGAGGAAAGCAGGCCTGAGATTGTGAGAGGATATTCTTCCAGGGTCCCGGATTGTGAGAGGGCACAGGCTAGGCTGAGGGAACCCCCAGTGCATGGAATTTTATGCACCAGGCCTCTAGTATAGGATATAAGTGATATCATACAGTTTTCTTTCTCTTTCTGACTTATCTCACTTAGCATAATGTGCTTAAGTTCGATCCACGTTGTCACAAATAGAAGGAAATTCTCCTTTCTCAAGGCTGAATAATATTCCATTGTGTATGTACCACATCTTTTAAAAAAAAATCTATTCATCTAGTGATGAAGATTTAGATAGTTTCTATATCTTGGTTATTGTGAATAATGCTGTGATAAACATGGGAGTGCATATATTTCATCAAAATCCTATTTTCATTTTCTTGAGTATATACCCAGAAGTGGCATTGCTGGATTATATGATAGATCTATTTTTAATTCTTTGAGGAAACTCCATATTGTTTTCTACACTTTTACTTTTGACCACAGAGAAAAATACATTGCATAATATGTAAGTTATTAAAATGAATTTGAGATTACTAGCAGTTGAGAAATCTTTCCCATATAATTTACACACATTTTTATCTAGGAATACCAGAATGGGAATCAGTTCTAGGGTCTCATTCCCACACTTGTCCAAAACTGCCTTTCTGACTTTTTTTCTTGATTGATGCAAGCACAAATTCTTCGTTGCTCTTCTCTCTTCTGAGGAGCTCCTTCCATCATCCTTCCCATCCCACATCTATAAATAGGCTACAGAGAAAGTCCCTTGAGTTCTGTGGTTCTCAAATTTTAGAAGTATCAGAGCCACTTAGAGGGCTTATTAAGACATAATGTTGGGGTGGCTCAATGGTTAGAATGTCAGCCCACACACTGAAGGATTGCAGGTTGAATTCCCAGTCAAGGGCAGGTATCTGGGTTGCAGGTTCAATCCCCTAGCTGGGTCTGTAGGAGCATGTGGGAGGCAACTGATCCATGTGTCTCTCTCACATCAATATTTATCTCTTCCATTTCCTTCCACTCTATCTAAAATCAATGGAAAAGACTCCTCCAGTGAGGATTAACAACAAAATAAAACAACACAACACATTGTTGGGCCTCACACCCTTAAGTTTCTGACTTATTAAGTCTGAAGAGAGGCTTAAGTATTTGAGCCCAGGTAATGCTGAAGTTGCTGGTCTGGGGACCATACCTGGAGAACTACCTTATTCCTTTCCAACTGCTTTCCAAGGCAGGTTTACAAGTGGCTACATAGGATTCTTGTTAATGGTTACAAGGAAACATTAAAGGGATTACATTATGTTGCTAGATGGTAAAAGAAAGGCCACCCACACTTTCGTTCTCTCCAGGGCAAGGCTGGCTCCCACCTCCCCCATGCAATCCAGGGAGAACCCCAGTTTTCCCTCCTGTATATTGCAAGAGTGTAATAAACTTAAGCCCCTAAGGGACAGTTCTCTAAATGGTGGCTACTTTAATTTTGTCTCCTCTCACATCGCTAGCCATCCAACCACTCGAATGAGATGCAGTCACATCCTGCGGGCTCCTTAAGGGGTGGGTTGAAGAGATGCAAGCAATGGCGCCACTCAGGACAGAACAAGGATCCGGGTGCCCGTCCCCAAGGCACTTAGGCGGCCAGGTGCAACACTCTGGAGCTGAGGGTGCAGTTAGAGCAGCGCGGGGAGCGTATGCTTCCGGCCACGTGATACGGCTCAGAGCCAATGGGAGGGCCGGACGTCAGCCCCGCTTCCTCACCGTGGCAACGGGCTGGTAACTATTTCCGGTGCTGTGAGGTCTCGGGGCTGATGCGGGTGAGTGTCCTTCTTCCCACGCTGTCCGCGCGGCTGCCGCTGCCGCTGCCGCTGCCGCTCCCTCGCCGCCGCCGGGACCTTCCTCTCCGGGGCCGGGAGGGGGCGGTGCGCAGGATGCCCCCGGCCTGGGCGGGGGTGACGGAGCGGCCCCGGGACGCTCCTCGTTTCCTCGGTCGCGCGTGGGGCCCGCGCGGGACCTCCTTCCCCCCTCCCAGCCGTGGCTCCCGCGTGGCGGCCGCATGCCCTCGCCGGGAGGGGAGTGTCTGTGTGCGGGAGGCCTCGCTGTCGTCCGCCCGCTTTGCGGTCTTGGGCTGCGGGTTTCTCCAAGTCGGAGGCTCGCAGGAGAGCCGAGGGTGCGCGCTCTGGCCCCGCGTGTGATCGAGGCCTGGTTAGAAGCCGCAGGACCTGAGCATTGACCGCTCGGTCGGAGGAAGAGGACCGGGAAAGGACCGAGGAGGAGGAGGAGGAGCAGCTTTTGGAGAGGAGGGTGGAGAAGTGGAGCTGGAGGTGCCCTGGAAGGAGAGGGCATCGTGTTTCCGGAAGGAGGGAGTTCCACTGCACTGGCCTCAGTTAGGGGAGGGAATGAAAGGTATTTTGGGGACCATGTGACCGAAATCCTTTAATATTTAGCTAAGGAATTTTTTTATATGCTCAGGAGTTTAATGATTTCCTTTTTTTTTTTTTTTTTTTTTTGCTTGTTTTAAATAAAGCTTTCTTCCCTCCACTTCTAAGAAATGGTGCATGCTTATTAAAGGAAATCTGGGATATGCAAAACTATTTTAAGAGATCACCTATAGTTCCACCAACCCAGCTTTTTTTTAATTTTTAAAAATTTTTTATAAATCATTCTTTGTAATTTTCATAGCATATTCTTCACCTACTTATGATCATAGTGTATCCATGTAAAATAGGATTACAGTTGACCATATGTATTCACGCATTCATGCAGATTCAACCAAGCACAGATCAAAAATATTTTGGGGAAAAAAAGCTACATTGTAAAGAGCATCCTTGGATTTATCCAGGGGGAGATTTTGCAATTAATCTATTCCTAGGAAGAACTTTGTAACTAGAAAGCGTAATTTTTGTACATTGCATCCGTGATATGGATAGATGTGTTTTTTTCTGAGGTACAATTCACATACCATAACACACATTCTTTTAAGTTGTAAATTTGATTTTTCCAGCACTATCACCACTATCTAATTCCAGGAAATTTTTATCGCCTCTAAAAGAAACTTTGTACCTGTTATAGACACTCCTTTTGGTTCTTCAGTTCCTGGCATCCATTAATCTACATTTTGTGTCTGTGGATTTTTCTATTCTGGATATTTCATTTAAATGGAACCATATAATATGCGTCCTTTTGTGTCTGCCTTCTTTCACTTAGCTTGATGCTTTCAAGGTTAATCCTGTGTGTTATGTGTTATTACTACATTCCTTTATATGGCTGACTAATGTTCCATTATATGAAAATGCCACATTTTGTTGATGGACATGGGTTGTTTCCCTTTTTGGCTATTATGAATACTTTTATTTTATAAACATCTGTGTATAAGTGTTTGTGTGGACGAATGTTTTCAGTTGTGTGTATATCTAGAAAAAGTTGCTGGGTCATATAGTAATTCTTTTTGAGTAACTGCCATGTTTTCCAAAGTGGCCTGCACCAGCAGGATATGAGTGTGCAGATTTCTCATTATCCTTGTTAATACTTATCTTTATGATTGCTGCCATTGGTTGTGAAATCGCATGTCATTGTGGTTGATTTGCATTTTCTGGATGGCTGAAAATGTTAAGCATCTTTTTCCTTCTTGGCCTTTTGCAAATCTTTGGAGAAATGTCAGTTTTATTACTTTGCCCTTTTTAAAATAAAAACTTTTTTTAATTAAAAAAATCTTTATTGCTCAGATTATTATAATTTTCTCCTTTTTTCCCCTGAAATTTTTAAAAACTTATTTTAAAGTTGTATGGGCTCTTTACATAGTTCAGGTAAGACCCTTATCAGATACACAATTTGTAATCTTTTCCCTCACATTTTCTCCATTTTGGGGAGTTTCTTTTCACTTTAAGTGTAAAATTTTTGTTAAATTCACTTTATAGTTTTTTGGTTGCTTGTGCTTTTCGTGTCATATCTGAAACCATTGCCAAATTTAAGATTATGAAGACTTCTCTTTTTTTACCTGAGAGTCTTATAGTTTCACCTTTTGCATTTAGGTCTTGATATATGTAGAGTGAAGGTCTATATATAGTGTAAGGCAGGCATCCAGATTGATCCTTTTGCATGTAGCTATCTAAGTGTCCCAGAACTATTTATTGAATACTCTGGCCTTTCCCCATTGAATATCCTTGGCACCCTTGTCAAAAACCAACTGACCATAATATACACTGAGTGTCCAGATTATGATATCTGGCCACTCAGTATGTGCGTGTGTGTGTGTGTGTGTGTGTGTGTTTGTATGGCCTGGTGCATGAATTCGTGTGCATGGATGGGGTCTGGCCAGCCTGGCCAGGGGGGAGGGGACATGAGCGGTTGACCTGCCTGCCTGCCTGCTGGTCAAACTCCTGATTGAGGGGACAATTTGCATATTAGCTTTTTATTATATAGGATATACACTGACTGGCCAGATTATTATACATTCAGAGATCATAATAATATGTCCACTCAGTGTATAGGTTATTCTTATTTTAGGCATTTCTCTATGTTGGACATTTAGCTCACTCTCGCTCTTTTTTTAATTATCCTGTGTTAAACACAACATTAAAGGCATAAAACATTTTCTGTATTTGAAGTTATTTTAGTAGAAAGTGTTCTCAGAAGTGGAATTACTGGGTCAAAGATGAAATAAGTATGCTTTGGAGCTTACTTAATGGGGTATTAAACCTTCAGTGTCATCATGATGGTAAGAACAACAAAACTTTTCTTTATTCAGCTATAGCTTCAGGGCTGGATTTCTGTAAAAGCTTTTTTCTGTAAGATGGATTTCACAATTTCCTTTTTCAAATGCTTCTAAAAGACTAAGTAAATCTAGAGCAAAAACTTCAACATAAGGGGCAAACAGAACATGTGGTAGTTTTCTAAGTGGGTTAAAGGGGAAAAAATAGTGTCATCACATGCAGTAGGAAAATAAAACAATCTTTGAGAGAAATGGGGTCAACATTTAGACCTTAAATCAATGCCATGAATGTCCCTGAAGCAAAAGCAATGTTTTATTCTGAGTTTCTCTCCTGGCCTTGATAATCAGGTTAATTACATTCATCGTGGTCTCAGAGATGGCTAATTAAATATGCTCTTTGTAGTATAATACCTAGTTAAAAAAATGTTCAAATACAAATGGTTATTAGGAAAAAATTCAAGTTTCCCTTTTATCCTTTCCTCTCAATCTCCTAGCTCTCCTTAGATGTATCCATGGTACTGTTGCATGTTTAGACTAGTGCACAGAGTATCTCTGAGTATCTCTGGAAAGATAGTATATACAAATTTTACATTTTAAGGTTCTTGATACTGACAAATGCTTTTAAAAAATGGTTACATCAGTTTATGGTGGCAATTACAGTGCTAGTTCGAAATATTTCATTTTTGTTTGTATATCTTTGACCATTCTTTCCTTAATATTGAGATCTAGTTTATATTTCCTCTTTTATGAATTGTCTGCTCATGTCTTTTGGCATGCTATTTGTTTTTATTGGAGCTGCTCTTTATGAGATTTATTTTTGCAGCTTTTTGTGGATGGATGTTTTATGTTAGCCTGGACTTGAGAAAAGTTAAAATGGTTTTTGTAACATTTTTGCTAAGAGGTATGTGAGCTGAACAAGGGGTCAAGGCAGTGAGGAAAGTTAAATGCTTGAGGGAGAAATCAATAGGATTTGGAAACTGGGTGTTGTTGAAGATGACTTCAAGTTGATTTAGAAAAGGATGGTGCTATTAAGAAAAATAAGGAGTAATGTGAAAAGATCTAGGTTTCTGGGGAGAGATGAATTTGTTTAGGGCAGGCTAAGAATGAGGATGATCCAGGTTGAACTATCCAGACTTGTGGCTAGAGCTCAAGAGACAGAAGATAGAGTTAGAAATCAAATGGTTTACTAAGAGAATAGTTTGAAAGGTTGATGGTGGATAAAATTGCTGAAGGAGACATTTGAGAATAGGTCCATCTGCCAGTCATGTGAAAAGACAAAGTTGGGAGGCATCAGGGGCCTGGAAGAAAACAGCTAGCACTGTTGATTGGTGTGCTTGCCAAAAAGAGCAGGATACCTTGAGAATCAGAGGTAACAAGCAGTGGATTAATAAAAAAAAAGGCTATGAGGTTTGGCAATTTGGAAAATATACATCTTATGGATAAGGAAATAATTTATGGGAAGCAAGAAGTTTTTCTTTATTCCCAAATTCTTTATTCCCTATCCTTTATTAAGATAGGATTTATTTGTCATATAATTTACCCACTTAGAGTATATAATTCAGTGGTATTTAGAATATTTAGAATTGTGCAGCCATTGCCACAATTTTGGAACACTTTATTGCCCCCAAGGGAAATCATGCCCCTGTTAGCAGTCCTTCTGTAATCCACTCAATCCTTCTAGTTCTAGGCAACCACTAATCTACTTACTGTCTCTTTATATTTGCCTATAGTAGACATTTCACGTAAATGAAAACATACAACATGTGGCCTTTTGTGTCTGATTTTTTTTCATTATTTCCAAAGTTTATAATGCCACATTTCATTCCTTTTAATGGCTGAGTAATGTTCTATTGTATGAATATATCATCTTTAATCATCACCAGTTTATGCACATTTCTGTTATTTTCACTTTTGCCTTTTATGAATAATTCTCCTCTAAACATCCCTGTACAAAATTTTGTGTGGATATATTCTATAGGAGTTGAGTGGCTCGGTCATACGCTAAGTTTATGTTTAATTTTTAAAGCAACTGTTGCAGAGGATGGACAAGTTACCAGTGTTTTTTAGAAATAATAAAACTAATTTTAATATCATCATTGGTAGAAAGATGCAAAATGTCTATATTCAGACATATTAAGAAATAAAGGCATGATAAAAATGGGTCTATAAAATTGTTTGTTTGTTTTTTTGTTCTATGAAACTGAAAGATGTTAATGTATCTCCTTACATTGGAAACCTTTTTGTAATGTGTTGTTGCCTGAAAAGTTTGCGGAATTGTTAGATATTTTTCTTGTGACTATATTGATGTATGCTTCATTAGTTTTAGTGATTTGTAATAATGACTACAAATGTGATAAAAACATCACAGGGATTTTTGATGCTAATCTATGGTCATGATTTAATATTTACTCTTTAGTCTTAAGTGTAGAGACCAAATACTGTGATTTATTTTTAATTTGAATTACCTATAATTTGTATGGTCCC